TCACTAATAGACTCTAAACAAAATGCACTTTTTTTTTTTTACTCTTCCTTTCCCTTCCTTTTCTTTTTTTCTCTTTTCCTTCTCTATCATTACAGAACTATACGCAAATTACTATATTGAACATCGAGAAAACATACTTATAAAAAGTATGTCAGAAATTCGTGGACTCTGGTCAGTCTACACGAATTTCTTGAATTTATAATCAATAATATATCACACAATATTCATTATAAGTACACTAGAATAGACAATTCATCTACAAATAACGAATTATCATGACACACTTTAAAGCTATCAAGCTACGTTGTTTCAGATAGGAAGTAGTATATGTTACTTTTTTATCAAAGCGACCTCTATTAAAATTTACTAGTAAATTTGAATTTTGAATTTAATAGTGACATCATGTAAAAAATTATTAAAATACATTTACACATTTTAAAATATTGTTTTTTATATATATAATATAATGTTACTTATATTTTATTTAACAAATATATGTATATATTACGAATATAATTTATTATATTTATCAATATAATATAAATTTATCTTTTCAAAAATACACACACACATATATATATATATGTAATAATTAAATTCAATAAATTTTATTAAAATTTTTAATCAATAATTTAAACAAGGAGAACAAATAATGAAAGAAGGATAGTAAAAATTGTAACATATACATGTATCTCATTGTACAATGCTTTAGTCACAAAAGTCCCTAGTTTTAATACAAATAATTTTCTAAATTTCATACTCAGTTAAGCTAGTAATTCTCTAGATATAATGTACATATTATATATAGTTATGTTAGTAATAAATTTAAGACAAAAAGAATATCAAAAAGAATAAAAAAAAAATTCAAATATGATGTCCTACATTCACTACATTCTGAGAAAAAAAGTATATTTTTCTATAAAAGTAATATCAGTTCTTTATTATTGCTTTCTCAAATAATTGCTATAAAATATTGAAATTAGCGCCATCTTCAGAGCCATAAATGCTACAAATGAAATACATAAATAAAAAGCAAAAAATGAAAAAAAGATAAAGATAGGATAAGAATTAACTATTAACGCCATCTCTTGATTAAATACTAAAGATATACTTCTAAGAATATTCAAGAGATGGCGCAATCAATTCTTATACTATTCTTATTCTTTTTTTACTATTTATTTTCCTTGTCTATTATGTTGTCTATTCTATGTCTATTTATATTTTATTTGCGATATTCTAAAGATAGTGTTGATTTCATAATTTTTTAAATCTTAACTTTATCCTTTTTTTTATTATCTATTATTCTTGTTATTTAGCTTTTCCATAATATATTATATACATATATATCATTTGCGATACGAAAATAGAAAATTATTTTTTAAAAAACGCATAATTTCTTTTTATTTATCTTTTATTATCTTCTATTTATATTTTATTCTTTTTATTATTACATTTCCTTGTTAAATTTTTAACAATTATTTATTAAATCCTTAATTCATATTGCATACATATTTTAATTAATGTTTAAATATTTAGTGATCTAGATAGATATCTATATAAATAAGATATTATTATATCTATATAAATAAGATATCTATATAATAATAATAAGATATAAATTGAATATCTATATAAATAAAATAGACATTAAAAAGATAATTATGAATTCAATGAACTTTTAAATCATATAATGGATATTGCAATCAAGGTAAAAGTTCATATTTAATGTATCGAAAATATCCAAAAGACAAAACTAATGTTGTTTCTTAATAATGGTTCTTAATAATGGGTCATTAACTGACATATATAAAGAGTCAAGTTCCATTCCAGAAGTCATTTAAGTTATATTCGTGGATATGTACATCATGCAAATATCAAGTGCATTCGTTCTTTTCGTAAGTTTCAATTTGTACTTTTCTTTGTAGCAAATATTTTTTTAATTAATTAATTTTTTAAATTAAATTATAGAAATTCAAAAGAAGGAAGAAAGAATAAAGAGAAAATGCAAATTATAATTGTTGTTTAAAAATATTAATAATAAATTATATCCAAAGCATCAATTATTAAATGATTTGAAAAGAAATATATAATTTTAATAGTTACCATATTTCAAAGAAAATATTAATTTTCACGATTATTTTATCATCTAAAGTATAGTTATATATATATATATATATCAATAATTTCTTTAACATTTTTGCTTTAAATTTTTTCAGGTCTTTCTCACGATGGCATTGTCAGGGACATATACTCTGGCACGACCCAACGATCATGTCGGTGAGAAACATTTAAAATCGTCTCCTGTGATTAAAAACATTGCTAAAGCTATACACAAAAGAAGTATATCGAGGCTCGTGGATGACAAACTTATAGATACCACGTTTGAGATCGGATTATCCAAATTCGAGGCAATCAAAGCTATCGAACTTGCCATTTTGCGTATGTTATCCTCTCAAATCGACGCATTAACCACTCGGGTTCAAAAGAGCGACGTTCTTGATTTATTGAATTTGCCCATCATCAAATTTATCACTGAAGAAGTTTTATCGGGTTCGTTATTATCGGACAAGAACGACAAAAATATCTCACCTTCCGATTTTCAACAACAATCATTCGATGAAACTTGGTTACGTGAAAATATAGAAATCCCGGTGATTCATGAAAATACAAATGAAAAATTATCGTCAATGAAGCCATCGCTCTTTGAAAAAGAAGAAGAATCTTTGCCAGTGTCCAATGAGGAATTTCCTGTTCAAAAATTTTAAAGGTATAATATATTTTGTCTTTAGGCGATTAATCCAATCTCTGTCGAAGATATATTTTTTGGATTTCGTCATGCAAAAGTAAATCTAACTTTGTTCACGAACTTTCTCTTGATATTAAAGATAGAGAGATGTTTATTTTATCCTATTGTTTATTTAAAAAAGAGAGAGAGAGAGAGAGAGAAAAGACTTATAATTTCATATTTGAAGGATATTAAAAACTATTTATATAAATATAAATTTTTTCTTTTATTTTAATTGATATGTCTAATACTATTATAATATATATGTATTATATTATATTCAAGTATGTATCAATTATAATACCAATAAATTAATAGATAAAGAAACATATATATATATATATATATTCTATTCGGAAAATAAAATATTTTTATTCAATTTATCAAATTAATAATATTTTTTTCTATTTATATATAAATCGTATTGAACAAAACTACGATATTTATGAATAAAGAATTGTATTTTTCTAAAAAGATACAAAAAGTTAGATACAGAAAACTTCATTTAAAAACCAATAAAATAAATAATAAAAAATAATAGGACAAAGGAATAAAAAGTAAAATCGATCGATCTCAATTCTCAACAGTTTTGACTTTGTCTTGTTCTTTTAACAAATTTGGCGTTTCATTCACGTTCAACGTTGTTTCGTTTTGCATTGTGTTCAATTGGTTTGTCAATTTCTCCTGCTCGTTTTTTCCGTAATAAAGATCTTCCATAACGAATGTCATAGTCATAAGAACTGATACTCCAGCGAAAATCACCCACATAATTAATTCTAACGTAACCTAAAGATGATATATATAGAAAAATTTTAACATTTTTCCTTTGAATCTCAATAAATCGAAGAAATATATAATATATATTTATAATTAATTAGAAGATCTCAAGTTTCGAAAATTGAAGATTAAACGAAAGTGTACTTCTACAACAGCTTTCAGAACGATCTTTAAACGATCGTTAGCAGAAATCCATTGCCAGATTATGAATGGTAAAAGAATGATTAAAAGTATTGCGTCCAGAGCATGCAACACGATCAACGATAATGAATAAAAAATTGGCGACTTTTTGCTAGAGTTTTGTCTGTAAAATAATATATATATATATATTATCATCGCTGTTATCAGATTTGTTTAGTATTTATATTTATATTAATTCTACAATCAAAAATGTACATTTACAATTATTAAACGTACCTATTCTCTATATTTTCTTTCTTTTTATCTTCTTTTCTCACTTCGATTACTTCGTTGCCGTTTTTATTGTCTATTTGACATTTATTGGTTAATAGTGTAATAGATGTTTTTCTTGTACCATGCATGGTAAACATGATATTCAGGTAAATTAAGTGTAAAAAAAATTTCTTAAAAGGCAACTGTTTTTTGATAAAATGCAATCAATATGGGAAGATTTCTGATCGGTCCATCTCATTCTAAATTTGTCAAATTAGACAAATTGGACATTATAAAATTGGATGAATAAGAAAATTGCTTACCATCAGATGTTTTCATTTAATTTCTATTCTATACGGTGAAAAAATAATTCTTTAAAAGCTGGTTTTTTTTTTTTTTTTTTAAACAAAATTAAATTGTAACATTCGTTTTTTACGAAGGTATACATCATATATCATCGCGTATTCTCTTTACAAGAGAAGTATACAATATCTCTCGATATAAATCTTATGATCTCAGAAACGAATGTAGAAAATATAAAATAGAAGAAAGATAATAAGAAAGAAGGACATTTTTTTTTCATGCGTAAGATACAAAATATCTTAGTTTAATTTAACGTTTAAGATCACAAAGATAATTATTTAATTATACAAAGCGCATGCACCCTATTGTAATATATTCTACCATTATACACTAATTATAATACTATTTGGTATTTTCAAAAACGAATAAAATTCTCTGCTTGCCTTCATCGTCCACTTATCGCGCTTTCGATCACTGTACGTACTGCAGGCACTTAACCTCAACCGCCAATCCTTCTCCAATCCTCAACAACCGCTTTCTTCTTTTATGGCACAAAGTGACGCTGACTCAATCGGTTAATTATTATGATAATTAGTCGACTTCAAGGACTTGGCTGTACGTGCAAACACTTTCTCATTCGATTCCTCGTTTCCACGTATCTTCTTTCGTTTCGAACCGTTTTTTTTTATCGCGACGACCGATTTTGCAACCGACGAGAAAACGAAGCGAACGGTAAGAGTCGAGCGGCGATCAGAAAATTGGCGCCCATTTTTCGCAAGGGATTTTCACACCAGCCGGAAAACCATAAACCTGATTTTTTGCCCGATGCTTCCTTCTGGCCACCTGCTGCCTGTACACGAACAACGGTCTGAACACTTTGGCGTCTTGACCCTCCAGATCTTCCAGATCATCGTCGCCCTTAACGCCATCTTGTTTCGTCTCTGTTTCGATCGATCTCGGCTTTCTTCGAGATTGATGGATTTCCGATGGTTGCCCTCTCTCTATTGAACCGTTCATCTCGAGACGCTCCTTCGTTTTCCCGTATGCTTCGATCTGAAATTTTTTCATACGGAATTGGCACAATATGTAAATATTTATGACTTGCATTGGGGAATATTCGATTGTTCGGAATTATTTTTAAGAGGTTAATTTTTAAAGATAACAAGTATCGTTAGATTTTTATTTAACTTCCTTTTTGTCGAACTTAAAAAAAAAAAAAAAATGTTCGATCATTTAGATTTCCTTAAATTATCTTGATGATAAAATTTTCAAAAATATTTTCGCGTACCGAACGAGTAACCCTGGAACCATCCTCGACATTTTTCACAATCTCTCGTTGTATCGATTTTTCGATGTAACCATTATTCATTAATTTTTTCTTTTGCACTCCGTATGCCCGAATTCCAGGAAGATCCTCCTCGGAATTGATATTAATCTTTTCCACTTTGCCATCGAATCCATGCTGATTCTCTATGTGCAATCTCCTAGAGCGACTGTTTTTTTCGAGTATTCGTGAAAGTCTGGCCGGCACGTCTTCCAAATTTCTTAATCTCGATGGGGTAGGATCGGATTGTTTCAAGAAAGAATTCGAGTTCAATGATTTTTCTGCGCCGTTGAAACCGAAGGTTGTTATCAGACAAAGGATCTGTAAAAAAAAAAAAAGAAAAAAAATTAGAATTAACGATGCAAACAATCTTTTCATTGAATATTTAAGAAAATTATGTGTATCGTGGTTTTAAGATAATCGTTATCGAAAGAGATTGACCATTTCCTATTGCGTATTATTTGCATAATCTTATATTTTTAACGTTTCGTAATAAAGAAGTTTATAGATATAATTTTTCTTAAATATATATATTATACATTCATATCGTAGTTAAAACAATATTAACTGTTTCTTTTCGAATAATATTATTAAGAAATTGTTTAATGATAAATATAATTTATTTTAAAGAAGATTTAATTATGGGTGTAAGAGTATTAATTATAATAACTTCAAGACTAATTTTATAGAGAATTAATATTTAATTTAATAAAATTTTAATTCATATGGATTAATTTATTAAATCAATAATTTTAAAAATATTATTTTTAGGGATAATTATAATTATAACTTTTTTTAATTATACATAAAAATAATTATCATCATTAAATCGCTATTATTCCATTATTATAACAAAAAAGAAAAATATTATTCATTATTTCAATTCAATGTGCATTCCTACAAGTTATAAATTTATATTTTTATATCGCCAAGGAACATGATACATCAACATGTTATTACATGGAAAGATTCTCCCTTACCGCGAGCGTAGGCCACATAGCGCGACGTCATCAACGTCTCTCCTCCCAATATTTCGAAAAGGTTTGAGTGCAGAAAAGGTTTCCGTTGTTGGCGACACGAAGAGAGAGATTACGATTGAGAGGATCGATTGACCGAGCATCGGTTATATAGTACGTGGCGGGTTTGCAATCTCGAGGAACTCGATTAAACCGCTAGCACAACTCACCACACGGCCGCAGAAAGAGGAAGGTATAGTAATCAAAGCTTCCACTTTAGAAGTGAGTCACCTTCACGACCGATCCTCGGGGGAAAAAGGAACGCAAAGATGACCGTCTTGTTTCTTTTATCCTTCCAAACACGATGAGAAAGCTCGAACACCTTGAATACTTTTTCTCGTCTTGACCTTTCTTGCTCGACCTCTCATTCCGCGTAATATGATAGCGGTATCGTTTGTAATTTTTTTTTTTCTTTTTTTTTCTATTCGACTATAACATTCTTGTCGCATTCTTGAATGATGGTGATGCGAAGTTTCTTTTATCATCGTACAAATTTTACGATTTATTTTGATTCCTCTTTTCTTATCTTTTTATTCTTTGGCTTCTTTTATTTCGCTTAAGATTTAAGAATGTAAAAATAATTATCTGAAAAGTTCTTTTAATTCTGGAAATATATAAAAAAAATAAATGATGTAATTAATATTAGAATTTTAGATTCTTCATCATTGCTGATTATTCTATATTAATAATAAAACGTGTTAGTTAAATCTCTAAATGAAATGAAAGAATTGCGTTATAATATTAAGAGAATTTTTACAATTTTCAAAATATCATTTCTTATCTTTTTTCAATATATTTTTTTTAATTCATATTCCAGGGAAATCACCCTTTTCTTCAGTTATTTTGCAAATTTCAAAAATAAACCCTTATTTCACACCTTGAGAATTCTTTTTAAAGAAACTCCATTTATTTTATACATTAGTACGAAGAATTTCGCGAACATTCTTCACAATGCAGTCAGAAATTGTTTCATACGTGTTAAACGTTTACTCACAATCATATCCACGAGTGGAACCTCTAACTTGATTTTTCCCTTTTTTTATTTATGAAAGATGCAAGGGAAACGAATAATATTTTGTTTAATATTTCATATAATGAATACATATCATACATATAATGAAAATAATTCTTCAGAAATTTTGCATATAGTAGTAAGATTAATTAAATAAATTCAAATTTATGGGAATACATATGCATTGTTACCATAATTACTTTAAGAAGAAATATATGACTAACTATTCAATCTAACACGCATTAGCACTGCATTAATTAAAAAACTTATGAGGTTAGCTATTGAAACTTATTCGTAGAAAAATTAGTTTACGAATATTCGTTGAATGTATAATTATTGCAAACCTAATATAATTAAGTCAAAGAATTCGTGATTACGAAAATCGATTACAAGATATTTTCTTTTTCCTCTTAAATTTTCACACTATTTATAATTCGTACAAATTCTTGGAATTATGATGTTGCGTTATAATTATTGCTTATCATATTTTAAATTTCTTTGAAATAACATCAATCTTATTATTAAGAAATATATAATGTAAAATGTGTATAAGATATGATATACGCATATGTAAGCTCTTTAAGTCAAATGTCAGCATCAACTAATATTAATTTTTTTTATCTTTAATATAATTCCAATTAATTTTCGAAGCAAATAATGATGCTCATTCTATTTTTAGACAGAAATTTATGTCTTAAGATATATTTATGATATTGTTTAAGGATTGATGGATTAATGGAGGATGGATAAGGATTAAATTAAATTCCTCCTTAACGAAATAAACAATATTTAATAGCGTGTATTTCGAAAATAATCATACTGCATACATTGAATCCTTCATTTCTTGACGACCTTGTCATCATTTACTACGTTCCTAAGCTGTTCCATGACATTTCTATTAATAATTTCCATTTTTCCCCAATCTTTTTTATTTATATACTCATATTTGAGAAATAAATACAATTAATTTTTTCTTTTTTTTTTTTTTAGAATCTGTAATTATAAATCCCATACATGGAAACGAAACTTTATTATATTATCAAGCGGAATCATAATACAATCATGCGACGAAACGTGTTACACCAGAATTCCTTCTTCTTCTTTTTTTTTTTTTTTTTCTCAACAGCTTTCCAAACACAAGTTTTTCTCTTTCCGTCATTCTCACTCGTTCTCAATCCACGTCGTTAATAATCGTTGTACTGAGGTCTGTAAAAAGAGCGTCTCGGATAATAGTTATCATAGTTTCGATACGGTGTGTAACTATATCGCCGATTGCTTTCGTCATAGTATTTAGACCGCTGCTGCGTTTCCTGTCGGTATCTGAACAGAGGTCTAAATATAATATCTTCAGCTACATCCATGTCACCTGTTTCTCCTGTGTAATCCGTTCGATCGCCCTCTACAGATGGCGCGAGCATTTCCCACTGCGATACGATTAATGGCGTCAAAAACATTTCATTTGTGATTGAACTTGGATTCGAAGCTGCTTGATCCGCGTAAGGTGAAACTGGATCGTTGTTGTTTATCGGCGATGAGGCGATAATCTGAAATGGAAAATGGAAAAAAAAAAAAAATTATCCTTTCTCTCTTTAATTAAAATTATTAATTTAATTAAAATTTTTAATTATATTTAATTAAAAAAATTGCCTTAGTTATCATTCTGATACATCTCTTTTACTTCTTTCATTCAATTATTTACATACGTTTTTTTACTTTGTTTTATGGATCATAAAAAAAATCTTACCTCGGATGTTGGCGTTGAAAATTTCCAATAATTGGGAGTAATCGTTAACGAGCTTTGATCGACGTAATCCTGAGCCTTTTCCTGAATCTTTTCGCTATTATCCTTTAGGAATTGAATTTGATTGTTCAATTCGTCGCTCTTAACGTGATGAGGTAAAACGGCCACGATGGGACTTTTCACTTGGCCCTTTTCAGCGTTCGAGGGATCAATGACCGCGACAATAGGGACGGCCACTTTCATCGAGGAAGAATCTTGCGGTAACGAGATCTCACGTGTAAGCTTGTTTTTCAAGAATTCCGTTTCGCTTTTGCGTTTCTCGTTCGATGATTGGCCCGCGCTTGGCTCTGGGAAGGACGTATCTTTATTTTCTTTCGAGTCGTTTTCATTTCCCTGGAAATCGAGGAAAGCGAAATAAATATATATATATATATATCGTAAAAATTAATAGAATTAAATATTTAAATATTTAAGAAAAATAATTTTTTTTTCCAAACCGTAATAAAATTCTTAATTATTGTAAAATAGCTTTTCAAATGAATTAACGATGATGGACATTTGCAGAATTTTTATATATAAAATATAATCGAGCTAATATTTAACGTGAAAAATAATATATTTTAACAAGAATGGAAAAAAAGAAATAGAAGATTTATCTAAATATGGAATGTCTACGTTAAGTTATTATCCTTTTACCTCTGATAAGTATTGATTCTCATCGTTCTCTAAGAATGCTTGATTTTCTGGCAAAGATTCTTGAGTTTGAGTCTCTGCTTCCTTGGCCTCGGTAATATTTTTTTTTACATCTTGCAAGTTCTCGGTAGGAACGACCAGAAGATGTTCACGTTTGGAAAGTATCTTATGATAGTGTAATAAAAAAATGACGCAATATAATAAAAATTTGAAATAATACAAGTTATATATTAGAAAAATTATAAAATTATAAAATTATATAGAGAAATTAAAAAGTTGATTTGTTTAAAATTAATTAATTGTCTTGTATTAAAATCAGAATCATATCTTATGTACATAATTTATGATTATACATAATAAGATTCCAGAATATTCACGTCGCTATTTCATACTTCAATTTAAAATCTCTCGTTGAAATCTCGTGAAGGCTAAAATATTTCAAAATAATTAATTTTAAAATTCGTTAATTATTAACGTAAATATTTTGTCTACTCGTTATATTTAATCCTTCCAAAAATTTAACTTTTGGTGTAAAAATCAAAGTTAAAATTAAAATTGCAATACGTATATTCCTTGTTTACAAACCAAATTGGGATTGGTAGCCGGCATTATGAAAACGTGCTTCTTGATCACCAATCCGTTTAAGGATCCATTGCTGACCGTGTGATGCACGGCATCTTGGATAACTGGATCCTGGACAACGGCTGCTATCGTTTCATTCTTGTCGCGTGGATCGGGTGGAAGTAAATCTTCAACATCGTCAGGAGTCAAAGGTTTCCCTATTGAACCCTTTCCATGAAGAATTAACATCAAGCAAAGAGCAAATTGTAACATGATCACCTGAAAAGAATAACAAAATTAATTAAAAATAAAGGGGAAAAAATTAAATTCTATCATGACGTTTATTCATTATTTTAAAGAAATTACGAATTGGAAACATTGTAAATAATTAATTGAAATAAAGACATACTGCGCAATATTCTAATTTTTTATTCATTTGCCATAATGAAAATAATTTTTTATATTATTATTTAACATTCAATATTTTACTTTTAATTTACATAAAATAAAGTTCAATGATCTTATATAAAATTTTAATATTTTTTTCAGTTATGGAAATCTTTATTTATAAAGATATATTGCGCAATATTGCACTAGTTGTATATATAGTATGTGCAATATATCAGTGTTTATATATTTCAATTTTAATTTATTAATTTATACATAAATATGTATATATACCCCTTTATAATATTGCTTCATTCCTGTTATTACGAAATCTTCCTGGATCTTTTTCAATGTTTCTTATATTTTTTTTTTTTTCTTCTGATGAAAACTTTAACAACGTCTTTTCAACTCTGACTAACAGTAACGGTTCGTTCGTATTTTATACTAGATACCAAAGAATTATCGTTGGCCTGCTAACAGACGTGAGTATCAACCTTGCGGTACATCACTTTGGACCTTGAACCTGTCGCTTCGAATTTAATTTCTCATTTATTGTTCCTTCCTGAAAGATGCCACGAGAGATGCCATCTCTCGTTATTCGAAAACCAATTTCTTTTTCTTTCTTTTTTTTCAATACGAAATATTTGCCATGATTAAATATTATATTAAATTAGAATAATAAATAATATTACATAACGAAGAAGAAAATGTCGAATGTAAAAATTTCTCTGTACACGTATATTTTCGACACTGCACAATATTATTCACTTAACGTAATATTTTGGATCATTGGATATTATATCAACAATAATTTCACAGTTAGTAAGTTGTTAATAATATTGAGGTGTTTAGCGATCATTTTAGCAGTTACTGCTAAAACTATAAAAGAAGGAATATTATTTTCCGCTTTCTTAGTTTCTTATCACTATTTGACCAATTCGTATCGTTGTTGATGAATTCAAAAATCAATTTATAACACGATTTCAATAATTATAACCGATTTTTGAGAAGTTCCAGTGATAATAATAAAGAATATGGAATATTTTATTCGTTTCTCCATCTTGATCATCTTGTTACAAATTCTTCAGCTACATGAATGCAGCAATTTGGAAATGGAAACTTCTTCGATACCATCCTCAGATACTTCTGATTTGAATGTAAATCATAATTCTTCTTATCTCATGAAAAGTAATAACATAAATACAATGTATGGCGTTTTAAAAAATGATTCAAGTTTGATTTTAAAAAAAGAGCCATCATCCTCTTTGAAAGAAAACAGATCAGTTTCTGAAACATGTTGCAAAGAATCAGTATCTTCAACGTCAGAACTATCTGTTATCGATGCTACAAAATCTGTAGACAAGAAATTGGAACAAATTGAACACGTTAGAAATGAAACGGATGAAGAAGAAGAAAAAGATCAAAAGATGTCGGTCATACTTGAAAAATCAATGCAAAACTCTGTTTTGGAACCTTGGAATCGTATTAGACGAGATAACGAAGAGGATAACTATCCTCAAGAGAATCCAAGTACATCTTCGCAGGATGATACTTCTAATCAAGAAATGGGAACAAGTACGGATGAATGTGTATACAATGAGTGTGAAATTTTAGAAGAAGAAACTTCAACAAATAAAGATTCGAACGAGGAATCTTCTAAAGAACTTGATCCTGCAGAAACAGACTCAACAAACGTTGAAGATAGAGAACAACGGAATACAAGATTTTCAGACGAATCTGAGGATAGGAGTGGACTGTATCCTTCTTGGTATCGAGAGCCATCTTTTGACAAAAGATATTGGTCCAGTTATGAAAAAGAAGAACCTTCTCATCATTTTATAAGGATTCCTGTATTCCCTGGGAAATGATATCTTCTTTTTAAAAATAATAACCAATGGCAACATTTTTGTAATTAATTAATTGTTGTTTACAATAAATATGAATACATGAAGAAAAATGAAATTTATTGAGTATTAGATCATTACAATTTATCATTACATATTTCATTGAATACTACACAAGGAAATATAAAAAAAATTATATTACAAAAATAACACATTAATAATATTGTAAATAGTACACTTAACTTAATATTATTTTTTGTTATTACGTTTACATTGGTGGGCAGTTTTTCTTTAAAGCTAAAGATTTAATTTAATAAGTTTGATATTGATTCATCATCTTACAATATTGTAAACTAAGATTTTATCTTGTAAAAAATAATGTAAATAATTTTGTATCCCATCTCTGATCATAAAACATTAGAGAAATATCAGATGTTTCTATTTTCTGAGTAGAAATGATACTCATAGAGATGATGTTGATCACGTGTTTGCGATCCAATTAACAATACCACTATTTATACTTATTCCATTAGCAAGTTAACTGACTCAGTCTTCTTGAAGACCAATCTACTTCATCATCAATTTTTGATGATTTTTCATCAAGTTTCTTAATAAATAATAAAAAATAATAATAATACGAAGTTCATCTTCGAGAATTGATAATTTTCAAGAATCTTAAATCTTTTTTAATGAAAATTAAATCCTTTCTATTCCTCTTCTCTATCAAGTTCGTTCCAATCATCCGAAATAAACGGATTTCAATTTTTCTTTTCATTCATATACATATTCATAAATATCCGTTTAAGAATCACCAGAGCTCTCATTAATTTTCAAATCTGCTGCCTTTTCATTGCATCAAGTTGTCAACATTATAAAAAACGACGCCATTAACGCCATTCAGAAACCATTTCCTTGGCGACTATTCCTAAGTCGTTGCCTGTACGCCACTTGTTGTCGATAGACGAAGAGTGGTCGAAGAGCATAAGTGCCAGCTGCTGTTTCGAGATCCTCGTCTTCCACCACGTTGCGTTTCTCGATCGAAATCCCATCGAATTTTCTTTCCGATCCATCCAATTTGCTCAGGAAAAGTATATACGCCACTGGAGATGAATTATCTTCAACTTTGTTTCCAAGATTAGTCGGTTCTTGGAGGAAAATTGGATTGACGAGTGGACTGGTATCGTCCTCCGGTTTGACCGGAAATGCGGCGCAGCAGCCAAGAAGAACCAGAAGATGGACAATTACGATCGACTTCTGAAAAAAGAAAACGTAGAATTTTATTTTTTTTGTTTTATTTTAATAATTTTTTCCCAACATATTCTTACATATTCTCTTCATGATCTCACCATTCTTATCAAGTCAGTGTAACCTTTCCTCGAAGTCGAAAATCAATCTCCCAATTCTCAAGCTTCACAACACTTTTTTCAAGAAGAAGAGAATGCTTTAAGGTATATATATATCTTACAAATCTTTAATCTCTCCGTTCGACAAAGATAAAAAACAAAAACAAAAAAAAAAAAAAGAAAGAAAGAAAATACAATACTTCGCGTATTTTTCGATTCTCCTGATCCTATAAATAAAAAGTCACCAAATCTGCTCGAAACAGCTCTGCAACAAGTTTGTGCCCCGACAATGCATTCTTGCAGCATTTATATGAAATAATGACGTCAAACGGGCCCATGCTAATCGTACAATGACGTTTTGTGGTAAGTGATAACTGACCTGGTAAATCACGATACATTTATATATATCGATGCATCTTCAAGTGCGTGTTTTTTTTTTTTTTTTTTTTCTATCACGAGTCCTTCAAACGCGGGTGAGAAGAGTAGACGTAGACCAATAACCAATTGCTCGTGCCAATCTTGATCAAACACGGTTGGTTATTCCTCGCAGTTTGGCACACCTGCTACGTAGAAAAATGTTTGATGTTCGATTAACGATCCCCCTTTATTTCGCTATGATTCATTTTTCAGTTTTCGCAGAAGGTGATTAGGATCGACGATTATTATTAAAATTGTCCAACGAATCATTGTAAACTCATTCTATATATTTTTGTTTAGTATACGAATTAATTTGACACGATAGGGATGATCGTTTACTTACTGGAAATTAACGAATCATCGACAGAATTGTATTAAATAAGAAATCAATTTTCCGTGAATATTTTCGTATTATTCGAAACGTTTGAATTTTGTGATTCATCGTATCTTATATTCCGTTTATCTTTCGTTAGAGATTAAAAAAGAGATATTGGAAATTATTAAGATAAAATATTATAGAAGGGTATAGAAAGTGCACAAAATATAGTAAACGATTGCTGTAATAAATATACGTAAAAGTTACGTTACGTAAAATTTGTCTTATTTTTCATTAAATTCTCGGAACGGAATAAATATTTATTTTGAAACAAGGAACAATTCAAGGAATGGTAATAATATATCCAAGATAATTCCAAATGAGAATAGTATAGAGCAATGATTCTATGTATCTAAAGAAAGTTAAGAAACCGATAAAATTCTTAGAGAATTCCAATCGAGTCTATCTATTAGATAAATAATTTCTTTTTATTTATCAATCACGAGGAAGTAGATAGAATAGTAATTTATTGTATGGGAAAAAGGAATGTGTCTCACAAAAAGTGTTGTGCTACGTTGAAAACACGTCGAATCAAGCTTAGTTTCTGTTGTACCAAACAAATCTATTTATTTCTTTCAGTCAAGTCATTCATTTCGTATCAAATAAATAATCTTTCGCTTCTTTGAGGCGTACTCCGTGCGTACTCTTTCCGTGTGTCTGTATGTTCGTTCGTTAAAAAGAAAAAAAAAGAAAAAAAAAAGAAAAAAAAAAGAAAAAAAAAAGAAAAAAAGAAAAAAAAATCAATTCAAAAACGAATTCTCTCTCTTTTTCTTTCCCCCTTTCTTTTTTGCACATTCATCTTTATTTTTCGAAGTGTTAATCGGATGCGATCTTGTCACGCGATTTTTTTTTCTTAGGTTTCTTTTTATTTTTATTTATTTTATTTTTTATTTTTTTTTTTTTTTATTTTTATTTTTTTTTTTTTTTTTTTTTTTTAGGCAGATTTTATTTTATTATTTCTCAGGCTCGGCCTCCTCGTGAACGGTTTCGCTGGTTTCGGTAGTAGTTTCGCTTTTAGATCTGAAAGAAATCACCAGATGAGGGTATTTCGTGGCTGCTGGGAAGACAAGTACGAGAAATTAAACAAGCACAAGGCCAAACAGGTTAGTAATAAACAAGGTCTGTTAGAAACGCGAGAGTAAAGTTAGTAGGCTTGTTAGTATATGGGCATATCGATAGATTTGAATTCACTCATACCAATCTTCCCGAGTGGGATTATATTAAATGAATATCGTTGGGCTGGGTAACCGATGAGCCAGGTTTCAGTGTTAATGTATATTCGCTATTAATAAAAATTCTCGACGTGAAAAAATATACGTTGGAATATTTTAATAATTATGCATTCTATTATATATACCGATTATGTTATATTTTTTTTTTTTTTACATTTCTAATTTTTCTTCTCGCGAATTTTAAACTCTGAAACTCTGTCATCTGGTTGCGTTAATTAAAATCTAGGGGGATAGTGGAATGAAAAAAAAGTTGGAAAGTACGAAAAAATCCTTTCCTGTATTGATCGATCTAAATATGTAAATCGGGGAACCTCGTCTACGAGTTGTTCTTATTTAGCTTTTTCTACATTTGGGAATAAAAAAAAGAAGAAAATATGCGTCGTGAGGGCACTGCGCATATCGATATTTTCCTGCTCTTGTCTTTTTCTTTCTCGTTGCGAATGAATAACATTTTATTGCATGCAAGCCGTTTTCTCTCATGCTAATCAACTGTTTTTTTCTTTTTTTGATCTTTAATGTTCTCTAATCGGGTCGTGTAAAGAAGCGAAGTGACGTTCAAATATATTTTTTTTTCCCCATTTTCATCCTCTTTCCAATGGCCAATTACGATAAATTATCTTGAAAATCTTTTTTATCTTTTTTTTTGTATAATCAGCAACAATACAATTCCTTCATTTCACTTCTTTTGACCCTTCTCTTCTATTATCCTTCCTCTCTAATTCTAACCAAGTGTTGTTACGTTTCCACTTGTCACTCGTGTGTTTTTTTATCTTAACTTTACACTTAGAAACACCACGTCTCGATACATCTTCTACCATGATACATTGTAAATATAGTTGTAACTGTATTGAAGTCGATACGCAAAGATGCACTTTGACTTCAGGGAGAAGTAACTTTTTACCATTGCCCGTTTTTCGTTTCTTTTTTTTTTTTTTTTTCGAGGATAAATTAATATCGTTATTTAATTCTTAATATTCGTTCTTATTTTCCTGATTCTCGTTTTTTTTTTTTTTTTTTTTTTTTAATTAGTTCGTTCGTTCGTTTGCTTGCTTCATTTCTCACAACTTGATTCTTAGTTTTAAATAATTTGACTGTTAAACAGATTTGATCGAGCTACAAGGATAGTTTTTCTTTTCTTTGTTGTTCAATTACATTGGGTGATTTTATATTATAAACACTAAATATATTATATATAATATAAAAAAAATTCTTTTTCTATTCTATATAACTTTCTACTTAATATTCCTTAATCCTTAGTATACCAGGGCACGTTGATCAACACTTTTTCATTAAGAGACTCTTGGTGTTTCGTTTTAGTTATTGTATTAGTTTATATCATACATTTTGCTATAACAATGTTCCCGTAAAACTTGACAAAAATACTTTTAAGCAAGTAACACTCTATAAACGTTATTTATTTAAAATATAAATTCCGTTGTTATTATTATTATCATTATCATTATTATCATTATTATTCCGACTCCACATTCATTTTTTAACATTTAGTTTTAACATTTTCTGGACTGTCCCCACCGTCGATATTATTTCTTTCTTTCCAAGTTCGTACGAATATACGTATTTACATGAAATTTTGTTTCGATATTGATATTCGTGAGAAATATAAATATATCGATATCAAATGTTGTTGTTATTATACGAATGTATAGACGAGTCGTGTGTATAGAAATGTATATTTGCTTTGCGAGTCCCTTGAACGAAAACCCAAATATTCAATATACCAAGGATTAAAAGGAAAAATTCTTCTTCTTCTTCTTCTTCTTCTTCTTTAAATACTGCTAGGGGGATAAATAATTTAATATTTATAATCTCTTCTATCGAGATTAATTTTAAAATCTCGTGGCTCGATTGTTCAACAGTCGCAATGACAATAGATTTACTAGAACGGCTATCTATTTCTAAATGTACATACATGTTATATATATATATATATATCTAATATATAATAATGTTTAAGTATATGCATATTGTCGGAATAGTAAAGGATTCATTTGCTGCGATATCTGCGCTGTTCCAGAAAGGCGAGGGGTATGCATAACAAGTAAGTCGTAAATATCAAATGCTACTACCGATCGTATTCTCGCTATTGGCTCCTTTTTCTTCCCTTTCGTACTCGAATAGGCACTTGGCTATGTTTCTGCGATTTCCTTTTAGCGTCAGTAACATTTACGTCTATTGTATATACGATGGAGAGATTTATTATTATATGAATGGAGAAAAACTGAAATTTTTGCAATTTACGAGAAGAAAATCCCCTCTTCGTTTTTTTTTACATTTTTTTTCTCANTCTCATTATTTTTTTTTTTTTTTTTTTTTTTTAATTCTTCCTCTTCGAATTTGATTATCTGATTCTTATATAATATATTTTTTTTCTCGATGATCGACGAAATATCTTTTTCAAAGACGTTTTTGTGACTCTTTTCGTTTCTCTCTCGTTATATTATTTTTTTCTAGAGGCGAAATGTAAGGATAAATGTACGTCCGTATGAAATCTCACGACCGTCGATCGTAATATTTCATCTTTTTCACTCTCGTATCCCTTCATACCCAATATTCAATATTTCAACGTTCATGCTCTCTCTCTCTCTCTCATGCATGAAGTATTCGCGCCAAGGCGTGTCAATACTTCCTCCTTTTTCTTTTCTTTCCTTTCCTTTTTTCCCCTTTCTTCTTTTATTTCTTTTTGTTTTTCTTTTTCTTTTTTTTTTTTTTTTTTTTTTTTGGAACTTTAATTAGCACCGTGTCTTTCGTGGATTTTAGTTTCTCGAGAATACGTTTCTTTCTCGTTCCTCGTTTCTCTCTCACGCATACGCTCTCACACTCTCACACGCTCTTCGAGAATTTTTTTTCGATAAGCTTTCCACGATTAACGAGAACAAGGGAATCAGACGAATGTTAGCCTAACTTTTTTTTTTTTTTCGATGATCTTACGTACAACGATGATGATTCGATGAAATTTCCGAATGAACGCGCGAAACACGGTTAATCGTTAATTTCTTGCCTTATTAATTTCATCGAGAGACGCCAGTTTAATACGAGAAGTCAAAAGTGAAAAAAAAAATGGCGACAGATATTTAGAATTATTAATAATTTTAGAGTACCATAAATTTGACGATAAGTCATTTTAAGGCAAGAGATTAATGACGAAATACATTAAATTAGCTTCAAATGAATTTCATTTTTTGATTAACTCGTCGGTCGTAACTGTTACAAGCTTCCTCGTGTTTTCTCTCATTTTATTTGTTTAAATTATATTGAAATTCGAGTTATTAACATTTTTAATTATCGCGATATCACGATATATCTCGAATATTTCAATATTTATTGAACAAAAATTACAGAGAAATCTAGAAAGTAATATTACTATTTAAAAACAATAAAATTTTTTGTTATTATTTTCAGACCTTTTTTATGACGGTGATCCACATCCGAAAATTATCTTCCAAAAGTATACATTTGACCAACACTTAGAAGCTTTAAACAGTTTTAATTACAAGAGTCGAACACTTTCACTGTGACTTTAATGATCGCGTTCACCGTGTTTCTAAAAAAAAAGAAAAGAAAAAAAAATATAAAAAAAAATATTAAAATTTATCATTCCTCTAGGAACACCACTAACATATCTCACGTCCGATCGTAATCGTTTTAAACAAAGGCTGACACACGTGCCGTTCTCCTTGCTTTGAGAAAGCTGTTTTCGCACCATTCTCGTACCCTATGAAGGTTATGTCATTCGAGCGTGTTTTAAATATCGTTAAAGAGAAGAAAGAAAACGCGTCTGGGTTTACACATCTCCCTAACGGTAATATAAACGTACGAATATACTCTAGACGAAAATCAGGTAACAAGATATACAATGGTGCATACACATAGATGAACTATACCGACGACAGAATACTGTATTCAACTTTGAACATGTTTTTTTTTTTTTTAACATTGCTTCAAATGGAACATGATGACATCTCTACAGATAATATAAGACTATATGTTCGATGTATTATCGTTAACGAACACTTAAACGCATAAACGGTGAATGTAAACGCGTATTTGAAAATAATTTTTTCACACAGGGATCGTATTCCAAACATCTTACGATTACCGACGTAATACAAAAGTACAAAATACGTTTGTTCACGCGTGCTTTCTTTCTGGGAAAGAGGATGAATCGAGAGCAATTAATTTATACCTTTGCCTCTTGTTTCAACTTCTTTCCCCTTCCTTTTTTTTTTTTTTTTTTTTTTTTTTTTAATCTTAGAACACGATCCTGTAACTCTTCTGCAGTTGAAGAATGATCGTGACCACTTATATAGAAGCTCAGTTTAAGAGTACGGTTTTTTTTTTTCTTTTTCTAAACATGTTTCGTACTCATTTCTTCGTTTTCATTTCTTTTTTTTTTTTTCATTTTTTTAAAAACTTCCTCTCCACTTAGAAGCAATTAGACGTACTCAGTCTTTCCGCGACGCTCAATGTACTTTAAACGGTTTATCATTGAGCAAATCAGTTAGAATTCGTGTTTTAGAAAGATGCGTTTCTTTTAACCCCCTGTTTCTTCTTCTTCTTTCCTTTTTTTTTTTTTTTTTTTTTTAATTAAAATTATTAAAGTTTAAATATTTTAAGATTCAAATACTCGATATGAATAAAATGCGAGAGAAACGTTTCAATAAGGGGTTAAAAGTGTATAAATAAAATTCACTAACGCAACCATGATACGGTTCGTTATTTCAAATATATTCCGATCGAATCAGTTTTTGATATTAGTTTTGATAATATAAAAGAAAGTATCAATTTTTGACAATCAATATTTTTTGATTAAATGGATCGTTTACAGTAATTTTTTTTTTTACTTTGAATATATACATAAGAATCTTTCGAATATATACATAAGAATAAATGATTAATTTTTAAAATTAGTCGATCAAGTATCAGATATTATTTCGATAGTTTACATTGATGTATATATTAAATGTATGGATATCAAAAACTGATTCATAAGAATATCAGATATTTCTATGTACAAAATTTTTGTTGGCTTTTCATTATTTGGCACCCACTATATCGATAGTTTCATCACATGAAATGAAAAACACAAAAATATTTCAAAATAGCACATGATAAGCACCGTAGCAAGTTTCGTTAGTCGAAATATTCTTACGTCGCTGCTAATTATTTCGGTATCACACGAAATTTATTAATTGTCGATTTTCCGTATACCAGATGTGTGTTTTTATGTAAAAAATTTCCTCGACTACTTCAAGTACAAAATGATTCATGTTACAAACGATTACGAACATTTTACGCAATTGCGTGAATTATTTTTACGAAGTATACAGAATATCGAAGGCACAATTTGCCATGTTAAACGAAATATCTCAATGACGCGTTTCTTCAAGAAAAAGAGAAAGTCAAGAAAATTTATCTTTTTTTCTTTACTTATAATCCCAGGAACAAGTTTCGAACGAAATCGATGACTCTAAATAAACATTGAACTGCCATGTAAGAATGGATCATGATATTTCACAGGTATAGTTTATGCTAATTTTTAATATGACTTCACTTTTTGTCATGAATATTTTATAGATGAATGGACTTTACTTTAATGAGTAAGTTATTCATAAAAAAAACATTTACATAGTATATTATAATTGCAAAGTTCGTTAATATTTCTCTACGACTATTACGATATAATTAGATTCTAGCAAGATGATTGGGTACTTATAAATTTTAAATGAATAATTTTGATACTCTGGATAAATTGCTATTAATGAATCTAATTTATATAGAAGGTTAATAATTGAAAATTCTTTAAACTCTAATTGTTAAAATTGATCGTAATAAAATTAATTAAATTAAAGAAATCTAAATTTATTTAAAAATTGTAAGAAATAAAAAAAGAGGAAATTAATACTTTTGATTGCCTCTATTATTAATTATTACTTTTAAAAAGTAAATCGATTTTACTTATTGGAATATCATGCACCCATATTGTGTATAATCTATCTATTTTACGTGAATCTACAATTATTACAATATGCGAATAAGAATACATTTACTTGTTTTAGATCTTTACACGTGTTTTTCTTCCTTCCTAATTCATAGGACATAGGATACACATTTAATGATTAGAGTTATCAAACAATTAAAAAGATACTCTTTACTCCTATTTGAGGCAGAAAATAGTCACGAAGTAAAAATCTAACTCAACATATTTCTTATTCCATTTCTAATACCGGAAACACGAATACGGAAAGATCTATCAAGTGTGAAATGCAGCTTTTAAAACCTAACGAAATGATTTTTCAAAGAATGTATACCTTCTAGTATGTTATACATATTCATTGAGTGAATCACAATATAAAAATACAAATCGAAGGTTTTTTCCTTTTCTTTCGTTCTCATTTCGTTCTCATTAACTTTCTGATCTTTTTTTCTTCTTTCCTTTCACTTCTTTATCGTGCAACAATGTCTTTTATAAAATGCACTTCATTAGAATAAGTTACTTCTCTTTACGTTTCTTTGATAATTGGTATGTGTTCCTCATTTTGTTGAATTAATTGATAATTCCTTATTGATACAACGTCTCACAACGATTGCGTGTGTTATTATTTCGAGTTATATAACACTAAATGCTTCTCCCTGATTAATTATTTTTTCAAAACGGCAATTAATGACACGTGCAATAGAACTTTTAAATATTTCATGGTGAAAGTAACTATTCTTGAATGTGCGAATCACCTAATATCACTGACATCTCGATTGTCCATATACATGTGTGACAGAAAAACAATTGTATCCTAACCACGCATGTACAAATAGCCACATATTGCTATAATACCCCCACCAACAATTGCAGCGCCTATGCCTATTGTAAGAGGTTTAAATAATGACCTCTTGAGCTTCTGCCATTCTTCAGTCTCTTTTTGACGACGTTTCATCTCTCGTACTTGTGCTGCCAAGCGTTCTTTCTTCTCTTTATTACGATGACGTATTTCATTTTTCCTATTTACATAAAATAAGTATTAAAAGAAAAAAAAAAGATATTTATATAAATACATTTTTTTTTCGAATAACTTACATATCTGGACTGGACGGAGGACTAATTGTTTGTATAGAGTTTTCACCGTCACTGGCATTATCATTAGGCACTACAACACCGTCAGAATTCTGTTCATGTATATTGTTTGTGATTACTGTAGAGTTTACACCAGTTTGTAGATTGGTAATGGATGTCTCTGTTTGAATTGATGGTTCTCTAGGCAATGGTTTATCAGGTGGTCCAGTTAATTCATCTGATATTAAATAAAAAAATTATATTTTGTAAATTACTTTAATCATTCAATTCATCATTCACATACCATTTCTTGATATTGTATTCGAAGTTAAATCTGCCATCATGCTACGTGTTAAGGATTCACCTCTTGGAGGTGGCAAAGGAGGTGGTTCATCTTCCTCTTCATTTGAAGAATTACTAATATTACTTACCACATCATAATGATTTGACACTATTTCATTATTAATATTCTGTAAATATCACAGTAGTTAGTAACAGTTAGGAATTGCAATGAACCACAGTAGCACAATATTATTAGAATTAATTTATATTATAGAAACAATCATGTGCTATACAAAGATAAATATTTACATGGAACATACAACAAACAATAGGTTAATTCAGAAAGGAAAAACTAATAACATTGTACCACTGTGAATTGGTATTAGTTACCACGTTATTGGATGGCAATTGTTTTGCTCCTTCAATGATAGCAGCATATGAAAATCTTAATTGATCTGGTGTTTGAATTAAACCCATTCTAGATCTTCTCATTTCTATTAATATATCTCTAATATTCACTGAATTCAATCCATTTTCTTCAATCTATAATAAAAAAGCAATCTCTTCTCTGTAATTTTTAAATTTTTTCTTTAATATAAATAATATTTACCAAAACAAGACAGGTATCAACTAAACAAAATGTTCCCGATCTTCCAATTCCTGCAGAACAATGTACCACAGGAGGGCCAACATTTTGATCTAATGTTCCTGATTGCCTAACATCTGTTAAAAAATTTAAAAAAGCTGTAGGACTTTGTGGAACACCAAAATCTGGCCAAGTGGTATAATGAAAATGTAATATTTCTCTACTTTCTTTTGTTTCCAAATCAGTTAACCTATAAAATAATGAATTATATATATATATTTATTCAAATATATTGAATATATAAAAATATTTATAATTTAATTCTTAATTATTTTCATACTTTAATATTCTAGTTGTATAATCCGATGATTCTGTTTTACTGATATATTTTATTTTCATACCAACATCCGGAAATATCATTGTATTAATCATGGATTCGCCAAGAGGCCAATACTGATAACACTTAACATGATTCTTTTCGATTATTTTATTTAACATTAACACAGCTTTAGAATTTTGCTCCCATATCATTAACCAGAAATGGCCAGCAGTATTTTCCAGTGGTCCTTGAGTAAGAATATATTGTCTACGGGCATGATCTACCTATAATAAAAATAATTTTATTATTATATTTTTTTTTTTATTAGAATTAAATATCTTGATACAATATCTACCTGGATGAGATTAGCATTGATATAATCACATGGGCCTTTTTTAAGAACAATTCTACTATGATCATATGGTAAAACATCTCTGTAACGATTCAAATTTTTGTTTTGTGGCTTCTTTGATTCATTGCATGTGTATGTAAAATTGCTGCATTCATTACGTATATGCTGTAAAAATAATATTCTCTTTTATAATTATATAATATCATATAAAAGGAAAAACATAATTTAAATTTTAAAATAATTTTCATTTGTCTAGGAAAAAAAATAATGTTTAATATTTGTTAAAAAATATCTTATTTCATTTATATAAATCACAGTATCAAATATAAAGTATATATTTTTTGAATCAAGATATTTGACCTTGATAATAAAATTGTGCACAATTCATGCAATATTTAATAATCTTTCTGTGAAAATTACTTTCCAAGAAAATAAACAGATAGGTCAGGGAATTGAGAACAATTCATGCATTGTAAATATCGGCAGAAAAACGAATGTTAGGGAGCATGCAATAAAGAATAAATTCCTAGATTTGTTATTGTATTGAATTATATCGATGTACAATAAATCTAATTTATTCGTAAAACTTAAATTAATCGAGCACATTTCCGGAATGACGAAAATCACGAAGGAAGTTGTATGCGATCAAGAATGGGTCCATAAGATAAATAAATCAAAACTTGATAACAGACATGTGATATATATATATATATATATATAGTGCTATACAGGTTTCTCATTCACGAGTACGAAAGACCGTTAAAAATTCACAAGCGTACGATGAGATTTCGCGACAGATGATAACGTGTTGATACCTATATGATTTTCAATTGGCAAATAAACATCGTTAAACGAGATTGAACAAGATTTCATAACTTGTGCATCATCAGCAATTAATAGCCGTGTTAGCGGAAAACAATTTTACGATGCAGTTTAGATTACTGGCTATTAAAAAGATTGACATTCATGGATAGAATTGGCGTTTCTCGCGGAAACCGGAAGAAAAGACGTAAAAACGGAAGAAGAAGGAGAGGAAGTGGCGATCTTTACCTGATAGAGAATCGCCCAGGCTCCTTTCGAATTGATCTCAAGATATTCAGTTTCTACATTACTAATTCCTTGCTCGCACGTCTCTTGGCTGGTCATTCTGTCGGCTCGTTCGCGACTCGGTCTCTCCGGCGCTCGAAAACGGCAAAACGAGACGAAGCACGCGAAGAGGCTGGGCCCCGGCCGCGCACGATCTTGCTCTCTCTGTCTCCGAGAAAAAGGCGTCTCAGGCACGGAGCGGTGCCATGCGTGACGCGGATTCTTGCGAAGGGCAGCCCCCGCCGCACGGGAGACGAAAACGTGTCAGCACAACTCTTCAGACGTAGGTACACCTTCGCTCTCTATCGTACACACTGCACCACTCGCGAACTCAACCACCACCGATCGCCTTCACCTCCACTGCTACCAGCGCGAAATAAGAGCTATCGTGCTGACATCTTTAGAAAATCGGATTTTCTATCTCTTTCTTTTTCTCTCTTTTTCTTTGTTACTACTAAATGAAATCGGGGCAATGATCGTCGCCATATTGTAGTAATCTACGCATGCGTTTTAATGAGCGCCAAATAGAATTTCGTTTTCTGAAATAAATTTTTAAAAAATATTTTTGAAAATATTTTATAAAAATATTTACGTATGAAATAGACTTAATTTATTATATACTGAACTATATACTCGAAATAGACTTAATTTAATATACAATGAACTTAATTTAATATACAATATACTCTTATAAATTCATTATTTTATTATAAATAAATTTATTATAAATTTGTAGTAAATAAGATCAATAAGATTAAATATTTTTTGAAATTAATATTTCGCAAGTAAGCTTTGTTTTTTTTATTAATGTTTGTGTTCAAAATATAGAAAAACAAAAGGTTATGCTTAAAATATATGTGTTATTTTATTTTTAGTACTAATGTTTACAGAATTGTGCTTTAATTTTATATAAATATTGATTATAAATAATTACACATTATATTTCACAATTATAAATTAAAAAGAGAAAATCTTATTTTATGATTTTTTTTTCTATTCAATATGTATGACAAAAAATACAAATACTATTACAAAGAAAAATTATTGTTTTACAAAATATAAAAATAAAAAGAAAATATATAATTTAAATAAATATTTTAACATTGATATTTACAATTAAAAAAAAGTAAAGTTTATACTTTTGTAAGTGATCTTATTTGTAATTATGGATAAAATTATTTTTCCTTTGCAATTTTTGACATTACATTGTCATTTTTTTCAGTTTCCATACTTTTTCTCTTAGCCGATTCTGCAGACCCTTTCTTCAACCAAGAAGCCATAAAACTACTAGAGTTGTTTTTTTTCTCTTCACTGTACATAATAGAATTAGTAAATCAATAGTCTAGCATGTCACTTGACAGGATTAAAAGGTCATAATTCGAATAGAGAAAAGTTAATTGTACTGTTCTATATACATTTATATACATACATGGGCTTTTTTTCTTTTCTGCAATCTTCATTTTTACATAATACATTGTTTACAAGAGTTGAGACTGTATGCCAATTTAAATCACCATCTGATAATGTTAATTTATTTAATTTGTCAACAACTTCATCTATTGTTAATTTTTCATTCAACCAAATCTGTAACAAAAAAAAGAAATAAATAAATAAATCCATTGTAATATTAATTTATCTTGAAAAATATTTAAACATATAATATAAATAAAATAAAAGAAATTTTTTTCAATATAAATATAATATAATATCTTCATTTTCTTACCTGTGAATCTTGTTCTTTGTTTAAAAAAATGGGTACACGATTATGTAACCAAGAAAGTATACTATTTGATTCAGTTGTAATTATTGTACAACTGTATATTATTTTTCCCTAAAATATAATTTATTTCTATAGTTGTATATTTATATTCTACACATAAACTTAATACATTGAATTACTTCTCCAGTTTTAAACGTATTAAAAATTCCTGCCATCTTTAAAAGTTTAAATCCTTTCCAACCAGTTTCTTCAGACCATTCATCTTTCCATGTCGAAAAATCATCTGCTCTTACTCCTTTCTCTTGAGTAGCATAAATATAATATGGTTGTTTAGATTCTTTTTTGGTTTTTCCAGCTTTCCATTCGTAATAACCTTCACAAAGCACAATGCATCTTTGTCCTTTACGAAGTGGTGTTCCGTATAATTTGGAATTTTTAATATTTTCTAAACGCGCGTTATGTGTTGACAAATTATGTTTTCTGTAATCTCCCTAAAAATTAAAAAAATTTTTTTTCCCTAAATTATCAATTATTGTTATCAAGTAAGAAAATATAATAAATATGTTTACATTTGAATAAATATTCTTTGTGTCAATTTGTCGAAATTAAACTGATAATTACAATGAGCGTATCCCTATTCATGAAATATCATTTAATTTAATCTTGTAAATACTGACCTCGTGCCAAGGGGGAATCATACTCCACATCATAGCACAAAGAACTTGTTCGTCCTCTTTGCCAAAGTGTAAGCCGGAAATAATGCAAGGAAGAGCATCTTTAGGTCCGATATTAGTAGATGGAATATATTCGATGTCAGTTTTGGTCCATGATGTTGTGCGTCGTTTGCCAGTTGCATCCTTGTAATCACAAGCGCGACATAAACTATCTGGATTTAAAGAACTGTGAAATTATTAGTAAGTTTTCTTTATTATTAGAGGATTATGATATTTTTGTATTATGAATTAATTATTGAAATTATACGATAAAATTACTTACCAAGCTGCTCGACCACACATGTTTCTCGCGCCACTCTATCCATTTGAATGTACTAATGCCACCTACGCTGGATTATTATCCGGCGGGAATTTGTAAATATTTAAAAATATTTATATAAATATAAAAAAAGGAAGTATATATATAGCAAAATTTTATTCTATTTATAAGAAAATGAATGAAATTCTTCAATAGCGAAAAATATCTTTGTGAAAGATAATTTTATTATTATTAATATTATTATTAATTTTATTATTATTAATTTTAAGGATATATAAACAAAAAAAATATTATTCTATTTTAGAACAAAGAAAGATAAAATTATTATAGAACAAAGAAAAATTGTGAAATTAGCGTCATCTTTGTAATACCGCAAATGACTCAACATAGACAAAGAGAGCAAATAAAAAAAAATATTTGTTTGAAAAACAAAATAGGGTAAGGACTATTAGCGCCATCTCTTGAAGATCAAAGACACTTCTTTAAAAAAGAATAAAGTGAGATAAGAATTGAAAACTCGTGCCATCTCTTAACCGCTTTTAAAAAGATTTTTTGGATATTTTGGACAAGAGATGGCGCACTATAATCAATTCTTATTCTATTTCTATTCTTTTTTTGTTATTTTTTTTCATTTGCGAGTTTCATTTGCGGCATTCTGAAAATAATATTGATTTCAATATTTTTATTGAAATCTTCCCATCTACTATTCTTATTATAATATTATACTTTTGAATACTTCTTGTTTATTTTATATATAACATATTCATAAGATTCTAAAAAATGAAAAAAAGGATAGTTTCTTTGCATAATCGTTCCACAAAAATAGTATATATTTTATTTAATGTTATTTTTAAAAATTCTAAGATTCACAATTTTTTTTTACGATTGATTCGATTGAGATAATAAAATAAATGATAAAATAGAAAATAACGTATTAATCGATAAAGCTCATAGATATGAAATTTGTCTTTATTCACTGTACATTTTCTTACATACAAAAAGTGCAATGCCTTTAAAAATTGGTCACAATAATTGACTTAATTGCGCACAGAATATCCATTCATGTACACAAGCATTTCACGATTATATATATGAAAATAAAATAATTTCTTTACAATTTACAATGTTATATACAACTTGTGTTCATAGTTATTCTAAACTTAATACTTTGTTGCACTGTAGAATTATCAAAAAATAGTGGAAATCTTTTTTTATTTGCGTTCATTCGTTCAATATTTTTGCACGCGTAAATAACAACGAACGTCGATTTCAACATCTTTTCTAATCTTGTTAAAGAACAACAATATATAAATTACAAAATATCGAATTACAAGTATGACAATTCATTCTTAGCACCGTTTCATGTCTATAATTAACATTAATTACACCATATAAGCAAACTCTCTTTTCTCTTTACAATTATAAAATATTTCACGCATCAAGTGAATTTTTATACATTATCTTTAAAATCGGCTAGATTTATATTACATTAGTGGCAAGAAACATCACATCACAAAAATAGAAATCGTGCGTTTCTGTCAGGAACGTTGTTGATGTAACAAAATCTTAATATATCATTGGCGTGATTACCATCACGCTCTTTCCATTCTCTCAACTTTTTTAAATTATCTGACGTGTATTTCCGTTATATTTCCTGTCGTTTCGTAACGATGCATCTGATTTTAATCGATCGGTAAGAAACCTTTACGCAACACGAGTTTCAACACGGTTAATCACAATTTTTGCGCCGCTCTTTATTCATAAATTATATCGATAAACTTCCACATCTATGAATGAGAGGCTCGTTAGAAAAATGACGCGAGATTCTTTTCCAAGATAAGTGCAAACACGATAAACAATTTACATATTATTCATAAGTTTCATTTATGCAGGAAATTTTTTAATTTTAATATCTCTTCTGATATTTTTCAATTTATCCTTTTTAAAACGATTCTTTTAAACTAAAGACTTTGTTACTTTTTTCCCGAGTCTCTTAAACATATACAAAGCGTCAAAATGTGAAAGTTTTATAAGAATCTGTCCGTACAAATCTTGATATTGCCTAATTCCATCATAACTCGCGTTAATCTCTCTCTCGACGCGAAAGAATGGGAAATCCATCGTTTCGACCGAGGACGATCGATCGAAATTCCTCGGTCCTCCACATCGGATAAATTTTCAAACGAAACGACACGCGATACGACGAAACCAGTCGATGAACAATTTAACCGGGCAGAGTTAAGGGTTTCATTCCACTTAACATTTTTCCATTGTGGGAACTCTCCTCGGGCAACGAGGAACGCTGCCGTTTCACCGGTAATGCGAAAAATGCATAGGAATTAGCGGGTTGGCGGTATGCGCGCACGCGGGGATAAGAATATTTTTCGGTGGCGGAGCGACGACAAAGGTATTCGGGCGTAAACACTCCCGTCCATAAGTCACCGGACACTCGCACAATACAAATGAACGTTGGGATTGCAACGAGCCACGTTCACGTTATTTGTAAGCAAATCTTTACATTTTAACGATACTAATATAAATATATCTTTATACGAAACTACGCAATTACATTAGATATACGATTTTACAATTAATATAGACGAAAGAAACAAGTTTACAAATTTGAATTATTAATTTGTTAGCTGTGTTTTAAAAATGTTGCAAATTGTGTGGAGGAAAAATGAAGGAACGGTGAGTACGTACGCAGTTAACAGATTAATAGATCGATAAATTTATGCGTTTAAAGTCAACAGATATCCGGTGACTTTTAACCAGGAGCGTTCGATCGCATAAAATCGACGAAAGGAAGAGGCGAAAGTGTGCGGATCGCCAACACGTATCTCAATATCTCGCCGTTCGATCTTTCTCGGCTCGGTTGCCTCGCTATATTTACATGTATAATTTACATATCCCGTAGCAGGGGCGAAGATGGTGCGCGCTCCTCCACCACCTTCTCCTCCTCGTTCCACGGCCAAGTTCCACGTCGATCCAGAAATTTCGCCGAATTTTTTTTCTCTTTTTATTATAAAAATAATATTTCTTCCAAGAATTTCGAGACTCTCCTCGCCGAGTAAACGAGTGGAGTAAACTTTGCATTTTAGAAAATGGAACGTAGACGGAGATTTCTTTCATTTTATATTAATTCGTCTTATCGTCATTTTTCTTATCATTCTCTTTTTTTTTTTTTTCTTGCATTGGCGTTTTATTAAAAATACTATATACACTTTAGACGCTTTCGATTAAAAAGAAAATTGATTCACACAATTTTACACGAAATTCTAACGAAAGTGGTAGAATGTCTGAGAATATAACCGAGAATATAAATTTCTTGGCGAATCTGAAAACGCGAAAAGATGCGGAAGATCCTTTTGTCGGGGAAGAAAGCGGAACCTTAATTAAGCGTGGGCACCAAACGAATTCCATAAAATTCCGTTCTCGTTCGCGTAACGATAAGAAACCAGCGATCGGACAGCGCGCCTCGTTCGTGGGATTTTTTTCGTGGCGGAATAATGCGCGCCAGCCACCCCACCGGCTCTCGCTCTCTTTCCCTCTCTCTCCCTCTCCCTATCGCCATTGTGACCGCGGGGGCGCAATTAATTATTGCAAGTTGCATCGTTGCATCTGTTGTTGCGCGGACCCCTCCTGTGTTAAAGAGGAGAGCCGCCAACGATTTTTCGGCCGTTCAACGAAGCGTTGCCATTCTTTGTCGCACTGGTAATTTACGGGCACGCGGCACTTTCGCGTAATTTACGTCGATTTATCCGGGGTTGAACCAAAATGGCCGAAGAATTTCATTCCTCGATTCCCTTTTCAAAATATTTATTATGCATTTATTATACGATCCGTGTTTTAAATAAGGAGAATTAGTTGTGAGTAATATTTGAAAATTTGTAATAATAGTTATAATGGATCTTTTTCTAGAATTCTTTCGAATTTTTTTGACATGAATGCATAATAGATCAGAGTTATCTAAGGAGAAAATTTGTAATAATAGTTATGCAATGGATTAGAATTTTTTGAGAGTCCATAGTAGATCAAGCTTATCCAGAGAAAATTTGAAAATTTAATTTAATTTAAGAGTTACAACAGAATCTCTTTATCCAAAGAGAGTTTGAAAATGAATTTGTATAATAATTACAATGAATTGGAATTTTTTGAGAGTCCATAGTGGATCAAAGTTATCTCTTTATCCAAGAAAAGTTTGAAAATTTGTAATAATAGTTACAATGAATTTTTTGAAAATTCCATAGTGGATCAGAGTTATTCAAGAAGAGTTTGAAAATTTATAATAATAGTTATACAATGGATTAGAATTTTTTGAGAGTCCATGGTGGAGCAGAGTTATCTAAGAGTTTAAAAATTTGTAATAATAGTTGTACAATGGATTAGAATTTTTTGAAAGTTCCATAGTAGATCAAAGTTATTTCCTTATCCAAGGAGAGTTTGAAAATTTGTAATAATAGTTACAATGGATTAGAATTTTTTGAGAATTCATGGTGGATCAAAGTTATCCAAGGAGAGTTTAAAAATTTATAATAATAGTTATATAATGGATTAGAATTTTTTGAGAGTCCATAGTAGATCAGAGTTACTTCCTTATCCAAGGAGAGTTTGAAAATTTGTAATAATAGTTACAATGGATTAGAATTTTTTGAGAGTCCATAATGGATCAGAATTACCCAAGGAGAATTTTAAAAATTTATAATAATAGTTATACAATGAATTAGAATTTTTTGAAAGTTCATAGTGGATCAGAGTTACCCAAGGAGAGTTTAAAAATTTAATAATAAGAGTTACAAAATTACAGAATTCTTTCAAATTTCTCAAGAGCCTATAATGAATCGCGACGATCAAAATTTTCCTCCTCTTCTTTATACCTTATTTATGCCGAATGAATGAATTATTTAAACTTCGGCGGTGAATCGAAATTGGAGATTTACGTGGGATTTAAAGAAGGGGATTGTTGGAAGGTGATTGCGACAAGGTGGGTGCGCAGGTGAGATACGAACGAAAGACGTAAAACGCGGGGAATCCGTTGGGCGGGGAACGTCTCCACCGGTTCGTGTTCTGTCGAAGGAACAATCGAGGCTGTCCGAGGGGAAGGTAATTAAGAGGACACGACGGCGTCGATTAAACGAGTCCTGCCGAATCGGGTGAAACGAATTAATTCCAGCGTCGAACGAGGATCGAAGATAAACGAGGATCGAACCTGACGGCGGATACCTTGTATTTAACGATTCAGTGACGAGCACCGATTTATCTCGTTAAATATTCACACGTACCATTCGTACGAGATACATTTTTAAAAATCCCCTCGGATAAAAATTTCCCTTCCCTTTTCTCTCTTATCGGAAACAGAATTTTCGAAAAATTGCTCGAAATTTTTCTTCTTCTCGCTTTCGTCGCGTCCGCCAACCAATCTCGAAGACATCGACCGGGGTACTTGTTATGGCACTACCGTTTCGCCGTGAATCTCATCGTCGAGGAATTCCCTTTCCCTGGCGTTCCCTGGCAAACCTAACCTCGCAATCTAATCTCCGATACTCGATTCGCAACATCTCCTACGATCTTAATATAATGTCCTGAGTCGTTGGGATTGTCATCTTGGTCTCAAAAAGCGCGTTCAGTCTTCTTCTTCTTCTTCTTCTTCTTTTTCTCGAGGAAAGAAAGATAAATATAAGAAAAACACGCTCGCTCGCTCTAATTCTTTTGAAGAAATTTGGTTCTAAATATAGTCGGATGGTACCGAGGTCTCGTTTATCGCCGCCAATCGATACTGAGGCGTTTCCAGGCCTCCCCCTTGCTGGTTCAGGTGGAGATTCGTGTTGGCTCCGGAGGCTGGTGCGGCCGCCGGTGGCATCTGTTGATTCGCCGAATTCGAGCTCAGGTCGCTGTAGTAGGCGCTGCTCGGCGCGCTGCTCAACGTCGGCCCATCCGGTTCCGCGTCGCTTCCTGTGTACGCGGTGTTTTGGTAGGAGGGGTGGTCCCCGTTCCTGCTACCCACGCGTAGCTCCTGAGGATGATGATGGTGATGATTGTGGTGGTGGTGGTGGTGATGGTGGTGGTGATGCTGCATCTGACCAGGCGGGACTGGCGTCGACGGCCCGTTCTCGTACATCTCGTAATCCGGTTCTTGTAACCTTTATAATATAAAAAAGATCGCGTTACGGCTGCTCAATCTCCAGAAACTCGATCGATTGCACGAGTTTTCATTCTATCGATGCATCGGGTAACGATCGGTCATTTTCGAGCGACGGATAGTGTTCCAAGGAACGATAAAATGGAAGAAATCAAGCTTGGTTTCCAACTAATAATTAACTTGAATTTATGTCCGATAACGCTTCACTTTTTAAAGCTATTATTTATATTTGAAATGCATATTGATAGTATTAATTAAATGCATGAAATGGTAATATAATATATAAATTCTAGAGGTTTCCCTTCGTCCACGTTCCACGCTTGATAGACTTGTTCTTCGCGTGAAATTGAGAAGATTGGTGGGGGGGAAACAAGTTTGCGAAGATAGCAAATAATATTTAATAATTAGAAAGAAAAGAATCGAAGGGGAGGGGGTATCGAAATTATCGAATGGCAGATGAATCGAGGAGGATGAAAAGGAAGATGGCGTAAATTAATTTACCTTTTACTGTGGCGCGTACGAAGCGTGTCCCTCTGCAGAGATCCGTCCCCGTTGCTACCGCCGTAATGACGATGTAACCTCGCGGCGTCGAGCTCGTGGTACTCGTCGTCCTGGCCGCCGGAAGTTGTACCGTACGTCGAGCTTCCTCTCATTTGTAGCTGGAGATCGCTCGCGTAGCTCGCGGCCTGAGAGTCCAGCTCTGCGTATAGAGCCTCGTCGGTTTGCATGTGGGTGTAGTGGTTCTCCACGGGGAGATTCATCGCTCGTCTGTGTTGCGGAAGCGACAGAGGCGTCGTCACGACTCCCGGTGTACCGCCGCCGCGTCGCGAGCCTAACCACGACCACACATTGTGCCCTTGAATCACATCACACCACATCCATAAAACTCGCGCAACACTCGTTTCCTTTCTGTGCCAATTATCCACCATCCCTATCGCGTTTCAAAAACTTTAAACTGAATTCCAAACGGCACAAGGATAAGTATATCGTTCGTTGGTGAGAAAGAAGTCTCGCCCGTTTTCACGTATGTAAACCTCGATGCATTAACGTAGAATTCAGAATATTTTAAAGTATCGATGCTATATAGAACATTTTTTTACTTCTCGTAATATGATAATTAAGATTTGTTAACGATAATTTTTCAGCTTCCAATCTTGGATAATTATAATATACATATAACTGTAGCTCTTTTATTACTATGTGTGGTGTTAGAATTGTTAACAAAACGTCTGAAGTGGAGATAGGTGGTCCTAGCGAAGACTTCTTTCCAATAGTGAGCAGTAGGTAATCCAGTCGATAACTATCGATCTCTATTTTACCTTGTAACGGATGTATTTAAGGAGATACGTACCAGGACTAGGAGCGACATCGTGATAAGGTGGCAGCTTGTCGAGTTCGAGAGGCGGTCGATCGGGTATAACCGCCACTCCACCTCCAGCTCCTCCTCCGCTACCCGGGCCACTGGTTTCTTGAGCGTTCGTATCGTCCACGCCGACGTTGCAACAATTCGCTGGAAAAAAAAAATATATATATATATATTATCCCACGCGAGGCTTGGAAAATCCGTTGAACGAGAATTGTATGCTCGAGTTTCATCGTGGAGTGGGGTCGAATCGAAAACGAAGCTCGTCAAGTGCCAGGTGAGGTTGGACAGAATCCTGTTACGTTACTCACGTATATAGGCTCACGTGCATAGATATATATTACCTCCTGTATACAAGGACCCGAATCACCGCATTATGACACGAAACTTAGAGAGAGAGGAGGGGGGAGGGAAAAAAGCGGCTGTTTTCTGTATGGCCTCATTGTGCGCCCGTCATCGTGCTGTCATGGCGCTTATAGAAGCGAGGTTTGGGATGGATTGAGAAGCACGGTGGGAGAAAGAGAAACGGAGAGGAATGGGTGGGAAGAGGAGGGAAATAGAAAGAAAGGAATTCGGAATTGATAGATCAGACGTACCGGCTCATGCTCGTGTGTAAACGGACATGGAAGAAAAACGAGATTATGGGAAATATCCTGTCCTGTAACTCGCGATGGATCGTTGTCCGGGGGTTTTCGTCGTCTCGAACGGAACGTCGTGTGGAACGTCCTGTCACTTGAAGCCAGAGGAGATAGAGAAGAAGACTGGTTCTCGTTTATCGCCGTGCCCTTACACCAGCGGCGTGCACGCGTGTAACGAGTATAATCTCTTCTCCCGTGCCTCGTCTAGACTCTATTTTCTTCCGAGAAGCTACAGCTACAGCGAGGATAATTGCTCACGGAATGAAGAGCAGAGTGACGTGCAGAGCCGCGTACGGGCGAAACTTTAACTTTTCCTTTTTTTTTCCAACTTACCGTCCGTGGATATTTATAACGAGCCGTTATACCATAATTTACATAATTAGCATCTGTGCACGAGATTATTCGGTAATGGGAGACGCGAATTTTCTCGCGTATTTTCTGTTCGATAGAGAATTATAACGTTTTCATCGATCGAAAAAGGGAGGACGGGAGAAGAATAAAAAGAAGAAAAAGGATTTGTCTTGGATCAAAAATTATTCGTTTACAAATGGAAGAAGGATTTCAATTGCCGATCACCCTTCTCCCTAATCAACCTTCCATTCATTACGTGCCACTCTTACGAGATACTTCATCATGCGAAAAAGGAGGATAAACGCGACTTCATTTGCGCCCGAGTGAAGCTAGAATGGAATTCCGAACGCAATCGATTACGGGACGAGTCGTCGGTTGGTAATCGCGTTATTTATCGTGAAACACGACTCCGTTCGCCTGCAATTTAACATTGAACGGCAAGCGTTAAGCCGTTTATATCGATATATCGCAAATAAGGTGGTGTCGATTTATCGGTTCTCGCGTAACATGGTACGCGTAGATTTCGCCCCTTCCAGTTCATAATCCAAAGATCCAAAGACGTCGCAAAAATTTCTCCTTCCTCTTTATCCACGAACCTATAACGCCAAACTATACGTGCTCGATTTCATCGGTGATTAACACATCCATTTGGCGAGGTAACCGGATCCAGGTCTCTCTCTTCCAGGCTGTCACTTCCAACTTCGATCTTCTTCTGGATGCGTTAACCCGCGTGATTTACCGGATTGGACGGTTATTGGAATATTAATTGGTCGACATTGGATGCGAGGAGGGGCGTCACAGCGGGAGGGAGGGAAAAGAGGAAGAAAGCTCGTAATATATACTCGTTTTCTCGTGTGCGTGCTCGTTATTACGTGGCCGAAGATACACAATTTTCGTTTGATGTTCTTTCCTTGGCAGTTCACGTGTCAAACAAAATTTTCATCGATGCGAGATTTTTCTTTGAGCACGCGACCGTTCGAATCGGTTTATTTATTTATTTTTTTCTCGGCTGAAAAGACGGTGGAGAATATTTTTTTCGACGGATACGAAGAGTCGATTAAAGCGAATCGCCATTGCGTCTTTTTTTTTTTTTTTGCGTAATAGCCAGTTTCAGCTCCGTCCATTAACGCCTCCCTTGTCCCCTTGCCGATTCGTGCCGATTACGTACGGCTGTACGCTTCAACGATGTTTTCCATTAATTCGTTTTCTTTTCCCCTTTTCCTTTTTTCTCCCCCGCCTCCTCTGTGAAATTGGTCGCCGCGCAACGCAGTCGCGCGCCGCTAGAAATTCCAATTACATCCATATTCGAGTACACCTATAATTTCATCGTTGGCACGTTTACACGCAGGACAGCTCGTGACTGGCGACGATCGTTGCGGTTTTAACGTAATTAATAGAAACGGACGGAAAGGACAAAAATAGAATCTCTCGGTAGGTAGTAGTATGAGGGAAAACACGTATGCCTTGCCTCCCGTAATTTACTGCCTCCTTAATAGCAAAATTTATGAGACTGCGGCGAAAATTTTTTAAAATTTCAAACATCTCCCCTTATGGAACTCTTTATATACATATAGTATATATATATAGTATATACTTATATATATATATATACACTTCATACTTTCTATTCTAATTATCCTCGATCAAATTAATTCGTATAAGCGTTAATTATGAACCTTAACGATTTCAATGGATCGTAATCGTTATCCGAGAGAAAGGGGGGAGGGGTTCGATCGATATTTGGCGCCACTCGCTGCGGTGTGAAGGCCACTTAAGAAGCAAATGGCGGAGAGAAAGAGATCGGCGGAGGAGGAACGACGAAGGAGTTCGAAGGAGGTTCGGTGAAACGAGTGTCGGATAATTAATTCGGGTGACCCTCGTTGTATCCCCTCGGTGGTGGCGCCCCCTCTCCTTCTATTTGCCCCGATTCCAACCGTTCTCCGTTCATCCGCTGGCAGGGCTTCTTCTCGGACTCCTAGCAGCCGGTTCGCTCGTTGATCGTATCGTGCCGCGGGTGATTTTAAATCAGAAAGTTAATTAGACGCGCTTCACTGTCCTTTATGTCGTTCGTCCGTCGCGTCCTATACCCTTTAACGTGTATGTGTGTATCTATGTGTGTGTATGTGCACGCGAGAGCGGTAGGTAGCTACTCTCTTTCTCTCTCTCTCTCTCTCTCGCTTCGGAATATACCGCTGTGAGCCGACTTTCATTATGCCAACTAATTAAACTCCAATCGGCTCTGACACTCGATGCCACGATTCTACTACGGTCTATGCTTCTCGTTTGCACCGATCGACGCCATGCGTCTCGGTGTCAATCCGGATCTAGTGGGAACTTTTTCTTTGATAAATAGATGATTTATTTTGTCGTATAATCTCCTTTCTTTTTTTTCTATGCTAATAGAATTATATATATATATATATATTTTTTTATTTTTTTTTCTCGTTATAATTTTCTTTATAATAGCTTCATTCCTTTTCTCTTGATCCCTTTTGTCGATCGCGCTACACGTGGCAAGGTTTTCGGAATACAGATAAGGTTTCAAAGAGCGTTCCACAAAGGAGGCACGAAAAGGAATTATTAGAAGGAGGATATCATATTTTAACGACAAGGGAGGGGGGGAGGGAGGATAAAAGGACGGGTGGAACTATGAATTGATATCCCCTGCTTAGGGATTGGAATAATTGCGACTCGTTCGTGAATATGGTCCGTCGGATCGATAATAAGCTATAATTACATTACAGGGGCATTTTGTACTGTCTATTGTATTAATTTTCTACACATGGAAACGCGATTGTCAGGATGCGCGTTATCAAAAATCGGGAATTATATATTTTCTTATTCGTATTGAAATCGTACATACATATTTGGAGACTTACCTCTGCCACCGGCGCTTTTCAATCTGCAACACAGAAAGAGAAAATTTTCCATTAATTCCATCTGGATTGGAATTATCTAATTTTCGAATTAACATCAACTATGAAATCCTCGAATTACTAGATCTAGACAATTTCAAGTTGTTGCTTTAAAAAAATTCACTCGAAAAGCGCGTAGAACGGATATGATTTTTCTCAAAATGATGGGCAAAATTTAATAATTGTTTAGTTACGAATAACCATTTCTATAATTAATTACTCGAAAACAGCTTTACTTTTAACTAGATTTCCTATATAACTTTTTCAGCTTGGATCAACGTCCAATAACTCTGTCTACCGAAAGGAAACGGAATCGTAAGATGGCTCGACGTCTTTGAAAGAACAAAAGTATCGAACAGTTATCACGATTGTCCCCAGTTTCGCAACACCCCTCCCCTCTTTTCCTTCCTCTCTTTCCTCCTCCCGACTTTTTTCCCCTTCGGATTCAAATCGACCGATCTAGTTAGCAACCGGTTCACCCTCCCTCCCCTCCCTCCCCCCCCCCCTTATTATGGGCCCCGATTCCCCCCCCCCCCATTTCGACGCGTTGCGGTGGTAGGTGGTAATTTAACGGGAATCGATCCGAGCTAAACCGCGATCGTTTCGCGGATCTGGCTGATCGCCGATCCGTATCGAGCCTCCATCGTCTCCTCCTCCTCCTCCTCCTCCTCCTCCTTCTTCCTCTTTGCATGGATTTCGAAATCAATCTCACGGAAACGGAGCGCGCAGGTGTTTTACCGTTCTCGTTCTCGTGTTTCGATTCGAAATTCAACCGGATGAATTTCTCCTTCCCCCCCCC